GGGATTGTGTCACTCCTACAACCACTAAATGTTCCTTTAGTGTTTGAAGAAGTTGCACATTCTCTGCTTTTACGTAGCTGGAATTCCAACTGCCCATACATTTCCATTTATTTCAAGTACTAATACATAGTACATAACCTGAAAGATCTAAAAAAGTCATTTCAAATCTTTCAGTAATTTGCTGAATTAACAACATTTTATAACAGTATATTTCACTGACCAACATGGCATTTACTGCTTATAAAAAAAAAAATCAGAAATACAAGAGTGAGGCCAAACAAAATGGACCATTTTTTATAATAGTTACACATCACACCTACAACAGGTTGAATTTAGGATTTAAAAATATATTTCAAACAAATATTTGTTACATCTGATTATATTAATCTTGCAAAATTTCCTTGATAATCTGTGTTTTTAAATGCTGATGTAAAAAAAATTATTTAAAAGAAATAGGAATCTTGTAATTATTATTACATATGAGAAAAATGTCTATATTCAAGAGTGCTTGTAAAAGACTGTATTGATGTCAGTAACTGCATAGCAAAATCATACTTAATGTCAATCTACTAAACTCATATCAGAAAAATTATAACCCAGAATGTCAGATTTAGAACTATGAATTAAAATTAAAAAAAAAAATTACATGTGCAAATGGATTTATGCCTACCCTAAAATTCCCCAAAAGGACAGTGACCCCTGAATACTATATGAGAGAGACATTTAAAATCTAAGAGAAAAGGAAAGGGATTTTTAATAGTTATTGCACTAATTAATGTTTCAGTTTTAACAAATGGGCTCTAGAAAATTGCATGGAATTCATTCCATATTGGAGATTTGGTGACATGAAAAATTTCTCAATGGGCACTCTCATTGCCACTCATCCATCATTTTCTATATGATGACCTGTTTAAGTTACTGTAATACCAAGCAAGAAATACAATTACTGTACTGTGACAGTGAAATAACTAATTCATTACCTTATGAAAAAGGTTACATTTTAGCTGCTGTTCTCTTATTTTTAAGCTAGCACAGTTTAGTTAGCAATGGTCTTCTAGGGCTTGAAGACAAAATTATTCTATGCATCATTGTATTTCATGGATATACATTAACAGCTATATAGCTGTAGTTCAAAAAAGATACCAATATCTTAAAACATGAAGTACCTTATACATTTAAAAAGACAGATAGAAGCCTCTTAGCTTCTTAAAGAGCAGTCCATCAGCAGGTGGAAAAGTTATTATGCTGGAATTGTAACTATGATACAGTGTCTTTTCTTTGCCCTCCATTTCACTTTGGTAAGCAAAGACAGCACAACATATGGCAGAGTACTTGCACCTATTAATTAGCTTCACAACTAAATACATATAAAAAATGTTAATTTATGAATTTATAAATTCACTTTCATATTAAATATCAATTGCCAAAATTGAAGATATTTTCTAAATTTAGTTAACAAATTTGTATGGGTCCAATCTAATTCCCATTAAAATCAGTGGGAAGACTCCCTATTGCCTCAACCTAACTAACCATTAATCCCCATGTAAATAATTATTGCAGTCTCTTTCTTCTAGCTGTGATCAACATCAGTCTTTTAAGATGGTATTTTAAAATCAAATATAAAAGCGATAATACCATGTTCACATTCTTTTAAATATATCACTAGTAGAAATATGTCAGTAAAGCTGGGTTTGATCAAAAACTGGAAAAACAGATGCTTGTGTATGTGTGTATATATATATACACACACAGAACAGAAGCAAAATGTTATGTTTTACCTATATGTATTCAAAATGTAACTTGTAATTGTGTATTTTTACATATATCAAAAGCACAATGAGGAAAGCAGCAGGGTCATCAGAATATTTTGTATGCTGAAACTGCTCTACTTCTGAGAAATGACTCTTCCACTAATTTGTTAAAATGATACTACTAAGTATTCTGACAAACATCTTCCTCTATTGCCTCATCAGCCCCTACCTCTTTGAATCCCTTCACTATCTTCAGCATATAGTAAAAGTTCCCCATCGACACTTTGTAGGCTCTATACATCTGTCCTCACCCCATGTCTGCCCATCTTCTCTTATTCTCTCATCTTATTTTTTGTGTTTTACCCAGTCCTGTTTCAATTGTTCTTTTTGTTTATGTCTTCTGCTTTCAGCTTTCCACCTTTATTTTATTTAAAACAATGCCCCTTATGGTAGGAACAACCTTCTCCTTCAAAGCATCTTTTACTTGCCTCTCAAAACTGGTCACAATTCAGATGTTGCCAAAACTCCTTTGACTTTTTAATCCTTCAACTAGGTTGTCTGAACAAAACTGAGTTCCTCGGAGCAATGACCTCGTTCATAATGTTTGTGAAGTGCACGATACAGCAATGTGACTCAAACAATAAATAGTTAGGCAAATATGGGTGTTTAAAACATTTCTTTATATGTTCTATTATGTTTAATATGTTATAGGTCTACAGTTTAAAAAAAATTCAACATGGGGAAATTAAATGAGATAGTAAAAGTAGTTAACCAATGCACTCTAACATATTGATAGAGAGCGTTCAGCAAGATACCATTGTAATCAACAAAAAACCCCAGCAAAGTAATTAAGGTTAACAGACTGATGAACCTGCCAGAATTATTTGATAGTGCCGATAAGCAAACCTTCATGTGCCAACACATTGCTCAACTTTTCTAAGACAAAATACCAGGCAACAGATGTTAAAATAAACTGTCACTACACTACAAAAAGGAAACTGAAATTTAATTATGCAAACAAACAAAAACCAGACAATTGTCTATATAATCCATGTTACAGTTACAAGATTCCTTCTCCAGCAAATTCTGTGTAGTAATGATGAAAAAACGACTCAGACAGGAATAATAATTGTTAATCCAGGCGACTACCTCAAGCAAAACTCAAGATTGTGTGTTATAAAAGGTCATTGTGACAACTAGAAAAATTTGTGAGGCTCATATTTCACCTGGCCATAAAAGTAGTCACTGGCACACATTTGTATTTAGTTTAATAGGCCACTAGCAGGTTAAAATTCATTGAATTTCTTCGTTGAAGAAAGTAAATTTTTCTGACCTATGTTACAACACCTAGACTTTCAAAACTGAATTCTAAAAATCTAATTAACTTTTCACTACATATGCTCTTCTGCTCCCTGTTTCTGAATGAGAAGTTTAATATATGGCATTTTCTAGTAATTTTCACTTTTGGTACTCCTGCACTAGCACAATACTGCTTATGTCTGGGTTGCAAATACTACAGGAGAATGTATATTTATAAAAGACACTTCCCATTAGAATTACCGTAACTAAAACCACACAAATAGTGCCATTGGTTTTAGATTTTGTAAAATCTTATTTTTAGATAACTTAAATATGAGTACCAGTTTGGATGCATCTACTAGTCACCTTTAGGAATAGGTGAAAGCTCGCTAATGTCAATTAAACTTTCATGTTGTTCAGAACATGGTGATGTAACAACTTCAGCAGGGAAAAGAATGTCTCAAGAGTTGCTTACTCTTTGATGCTACAGAGACAGTGACAGCAGCTCAATAAAACCTGTTCCTCCTCCACTGAGGGTAGCCAATAAGAAATTAGCAAGTCTCCCTTTAAACAGAATGAAGCAGCAAAATGAAGTCTCAAGGCTCACTTTAATATCCCTATTTGAATGGCAGAAAATGCAAAGGAATGCATATTTCTTAGACTAGTAATATCCATTAAAGCTGATCAACTTTTTTACTTATTTCCTACATTTCTAACACAAAGTATCAATATAAACATCATTCCTATTATTACCAGTAATGTGTTAAAAACTTAGCAGTTTGTAACTTCTGAGAAAGTGGCTCTTTAAAGCAAAAGCATACATATCACTTAATATTGTAAAACAGAAGCATTCCAATTGACCTGAGACTGGAAATGATAACTGGCACAAAGGGGGATTCTTTTCACCTCATGCAGATACGCGTGAGAGTGCCTACCCTAATTTACTCCACTTTAAAAAAGGTATTTAACACCAAGACAAGCCTCACTCGACATTAAAATTGCAGAGCTTCTATTTCCCTCAGTTTCAATTGTAATTTATCCACCTTGTCATCTTAGATACCAAACTGGTGAAGAACACTGCAGCTTTAAATATTTCAGAGCTATGTAGCTAGTAAATAGACTCCATTGCAATATGGCTCTGAAGGTCGTGTCCTATTGTCTCTTTTCTCTTCAAATATACTGAACTGCATAACATGTTTTAATTTACAAAATAAGAAATACTGTCCTACCATTTCTAAATCATGTCAATTTGAATAGAGATCTCCTTATTAGAAAAAAACAGATACGGCACTCCTTCTGTACACACCTACGCTGCTTCTAGATGTATCAAAAACCTACACCCTGGATGCAACACTGGATTACACATTTGATAAGTTTCCAACATTTGATTGCATACATTATGTGAATACAGTCCTTCTTAAACCACATCTCAACAATAAGTATTAACCTCTTTAATGGTGAAAAGTAATTAGCTGCATATCAGGTTCAGAAGCATCTTTGTTTAAAATTAGCCTTCTAGTTAGAAATCTGAAGCCAGCTATTATACATTAATAGCCCCATATTCCTCACCATTTAACATAATATAGGATTTTTGCAAATACTATACAAGTTAAATACACACATTGATCATCCACAGGAATGGAATATAAAATCTATAGAAACTATGTTCCCTGAAAGCAACCAGATTTCTAATGTTAAAACCCCCTTGCAGTAATTTAAAAAAGTGAAATTGGAAGAAAAATAGGGCTATTGTCCATATGCAAGATTTTGGATCTGAGTGTGCAATTTCTGAGAGCAGCCAGTACGATTTCAGAAGAGGTAAATACTCATGCGCTATGAGGAAGGTGAAAATGACATGTTACCTTCTAGATGAGATATTGGTGCAGAGTGCACCTTAAACAAAACATTGAGATATCTGTCACCAGTGCAAAAGGTGCATTAAGACATTACCTGAAAAGGCAACAGACTGTTGCCATTGTCGGTCCTGAAGGCATTGTCCTCCATCCAGGATTTGGGGGTTAAGGGTGGAGCCCGTGGGAACTTCGGAGGGGCAATGACATTGCTGGAGAAAGGTTTTTTGAGGGGTGAAATAGGATTGAGGGGGGAAGGCACCCCAACCCCCACTCCTACCCCAACCCCCACTCCTACTGCCCTTCGAGGGTCCCTGCCAGCTTGCAACCCACCCCAGGGGTTGGAAGGTGTACTCCAGGCTGCATTTTGGTGGTTATTCCAGCTGGAGGAGGAAGAGGAAGAGGCAGAGGAGGAAGACGGTTTGCTGGTCATAATGGGCTGATGGCTGTAAGCAGCATTTCTCTGGGCAAAAGGTGCCTGATTGGGACTCACAGGTGATCTCCTTTGCTGCTGCTGTTGGGCTTGCTGCTGCTGATGGTGGTGATGCTGAGTCTGAGCTAGGCCGATCTGGGGAGAGAAAGTGCCACCAAACACAGGGTTGACATGGTGAGGGAAATTCTGGAAAAGCATTGTGCCATTGACTGGGGTAATCCCTTGGAAAAAACTATCATCCACTGTGTTTGTGGTCCCTGTAGACCAGGTGCTGCCGAAGGACGGAGACAAGGAGGTGCCGGGTGTAGGTTCCTGCTGAGGCTGGTGAAAACTCAAGCCAGGCAAGATGGGGGACTCCATCTGCATCTTCTCCTTGCTATTTTGGACAGAAGTTGCTGTGCCGATACTAGTCACTGGGCTGCTGTCCTCCGGTTTAGACGTCTCTGATGAGATGGGTGTAGAAGGGGGTTCTGCTGCGTTTGGATCTTGCTGCTGCTGCTGCCGCTGCTGCTGGGGCTGGGCTTTGCTTTTGTCCATCAGTAAATCATCCTGCATGGTTTGTGCAGCTGAAACAGTGGTGGAGGGTGAGGGGGGAAACACAAAGACAGGTTATTATTCTCATTCATACCACTAGCCGCACTGCTTTGGTATTTTGCTTGCTAAAATCCCGTGCCATTGCTAGTTGCAAGGCAAATCCGTAATTCCCCCTCCTCCCCCATTTAGGAGTGCAATGTTTAATCAGTGTGATCGTGCTAGCTTGCCTTCAAATATAATTTAAGAGGCTTCACCCTTTCTGATGCCTTGATTCCTTTCAATCTAAATGAGAGATGTGCTTATAGGGCAGAGATATACAGCAATTTCGCCACGTCTCTTTTCTCTTACACCGGAACTCAGAGCTCTCACCCTGCAATGAGAAACTGATTCTGGTTCCTGTTTTTCCAAGCACCCTCCTCCTCCTCCCCAGTTATTTGCATACGTCAATAAATACTGCTGCGTCCTTCAGCAAGGTTAAAAAGACACCAGCCTTTACTCTCCTCCACCCCCTTCCATACGAGGAGACCTTTAAAGGAGCAGGATGCCCATTTCCCTTAATTAACAAACAGGTTTTCAATTATTCCATTTAACACCACAGAACATGCTCAGAATCTTGAGCTGATAATGGAAGACGTTCTTAGCTGCACATCATTTACTGGCCTTTTCTTTCCTGACAGTTTACTGTTTGGCCAGATGCATAAGCATCAACTCTGATTGAAAAACAAAACAAGGTTGTATTTGCCTCTGATGACCTTAAGATTTTTCACTTCAGGGTTATTCTCTATAAAACAGGGTTTTTGCATCCTAGGACAGTCCCTTCCTTGTGTATATCGGATATACTCACTACAGACAGGACTATATATGTGAAATCTACAGAATAGAATACTTTTAAGATCTCAGGCCAAAATTATAAGCAGAGCTTGGACTTAGTATTTTAAATACTAAAGTCTCTGTTCCTTTCAACACAACATTTAAAACGTGGGACGAATCAAAACATTTAATTTATACATTTATACACGCACACATTTTAAAAACCACCTTTCTTCCATATGAAAGGGACTGAATGATTTAAAGGTGCAATGTACAAGTCAATCACTAAATATAAACAAGTTAAAACGTTATGAAATTAAATTTATGTAGTGTGAGCAAGTCCTGTACCTATTAGAAAGGTACTTCTTATAAAACACATCAGGTCAAGTAATACAAATTGTTAACCTTATTTTAAAACTCAGTACCAGAGTAAGGTATATGCATTCGCTACTCCTCGACCTCTGCAAGAAACTATCAAAGCAACCACCCCCAAATTTCGCAGACGTATTTACAATTAAAGAGGCCACACACAAAAAAAGTTCGTGACAATATTTTAAATAAGTCTATTAATTTATGGCTAATTTTAATCAAGTAGCCATGTCAATAAAAGAGGGCATCTCTGAATACCTAAGCACATTTTTAATTGTTCTAACCATATGGCGTTTGTATTTCTAAAAAGCACTTGACTTTTAGATTGCTATTTAATTGCAGCAAAATAACGTGATGTCAAATTAAACAGCTGGTTAGGAAGGGTGTCAAGGAGCGTGAAGACAAAGTTTAATTTCTCATATTAGCCATTTTTATATGACCCATGGCTTTCATTTAAGATTGCACTTTACAAAGATTATTTAAATATTAGCTGTTTCCATCTAGTTCAAACTCTATATTTTATTCACACAATATATACATACACACGCTTTTGCTTTAGAGATAATTGACAGGACAGGTTCTGCTACCAGTTACGTTACGTTTTCTGTTTATTTTATTCTCTATTCAAATAAGTAAGTCCAACAATTATGACTTTAACAGTCCATATAGCGAGACAGCATCAAGCCAAATTCCTAGGAAGAAAGGAGTAAACTATTGCATCTGTATCACGCAGCTCTGCTGCTGCTGCGGGGGGGAAGAGGGGGGGGAGAGAGAGAGAGGTGCAGGAAACCTTTCGAGGCAGTTTAAAGCCGTACTGCAGCAAGCCACAATATCCCAGGCTTCGTGTAGCTTTCCATTAGCTGAATTTCTATCAAAATCACCGTAACTGTTAGAACTAAACAAAATTGCTGGGGATTCCATAGGATAAAGGGGAAAAAAAGATAACACCTATAATCCTTCCTTGCTTTTTGATGCACCCATTTAGAAAGTTATGTTCTACAAAAAACAATTGAAAGGTTAAAATCCTGCCTTCAATAAAGTGTACTTGATTCACTAACTCACCAAGTAATCGTACAGTGGCCACCCCAGCAGTTGTTTCGATACATATCTTGCCTTAGTTATTTGTATATTAACTTTATCCTGAGGATAGTAATCCACATCCGTTTTCCATTACTCCTTAAAGGTAAAATTTCAGCACAAATTCAACCCTCTTGTCAAGGTCAAGACCTACCTTTAATGAGTGAAGCCAGTCTGAATGGAGAAACACTGGATAATAAAATGACTTTGAAAGACGGGCCAACCAATGTCTAATATTGGGCTAATATGCGGTGCCTCTTGATTATTGCTGGAATAAGTATTTGTGCAAATTTACAGTCCAGTACAGGAAATCTATATCCCCATAACAATACCAGCTCCGTTCGTATGCAGTAACCCAAGCAATCAACGCAGAAATTCCTTAGGAACAGTTACCTTTGAGTGTTCTGTATTTAAAGATCAATACAATGACAGTATTTATTTTCTTCTTTCGGGTTTGCTATATAACAAATAGGCGACCGCTCTGGCAAGAGCACTTTGACAACTGCAAGCTTATGGCGCATGCTCACCCAAGGAACTATGGGGATTGAAGTCTTTTCCACATACGGCTATTGACTTCTGCATGTTGGGAGAACTACAGTACTGAAAGGAGGCGAGATCAAATACATCCATTCTCCAGGGGGAAGTCGTTGCAACCCGGATTACATTTAAAATTAATGCAGTCCAAAATCATTAGCTTTCAGAAGAAAGACTGGTGGGATACATTGATCTGGAAATCGAAATTACAATAAGCCTCCAGCAGTCTGACAGATGTATAAATCAAGATAAAATAGATCAAATATAGCTACCCAAAATAATAAATTAAATGTTAGTCACTAGCTAGTTAATTAAACTATTCTAGTGCAAAATCACAACCTGACTTCCTCTATGAAGAGATAAGACACTACTTTTTAATATTAGTTACAATGTTTCTTAGCTGAAATAAATGTTTTATATTGCAGTCACAATATTCTTGATAAAATATAGTCTTACATCATCTGGGTATAACTTAACAGGTTTTATGTGAGATTTTAAAAGTAAATTAAGATCAATATCTATATATTATGGTTACTGGTGTTATATAAATGCCCAAGGTAGATTCCCACACGAGAAAGTCATCAACATTGAGTTTATGTTACTAAACAGAATATCCTATCAATGCAAGCTACAAAAAAGAGGGTAAACAAGCAGTTAAGTAATTTAACACTCCATCTGCACATCAGTCAGCAGTTCCTCCTCCACTACCTCCCTTCTACCACCCACATCTCTCCAGCTCCTCTTCAGAGATCAATATGCATCCTCAAACCATATTCATTGGTAATATGTTCCAGTGTTTGGATTATTAATATAACACTGTTGTGACTTTCATAAATTACATTCTGTGTAGTTCTGTATGTTGTATTCCTGTATAATTGAGATAGTGTGTCAGATTGGAAATGTTGGTTACAATAGATTTTCCTAAAGTGTCAGGAAACATTATATTAACATGTGATCAATGTTAATAATTAGTTTTCGTTACAAAATTTAAATCTGCATTGTGTGAACATTGGTGCGTGTGGCTGCACACTGGTTGTTCAACAGAGGCTGGAGATATATGAGCAATCGCTGGAAGAGAGACAGTTAAAGCTAAGAAGGAGAAAGGAGTGGAATTGTAGCTGAGGTGTCAAGTGACTTAATTGCTTATTTCTTTGCTTTTTACAGTTTGAGTTGGTGGGCTATGCAGTCTAGGAACTGTAAGTCAAAGCTATAATGACCAGATTCTCAGCATCCATTCCTAGACTCTTTGCTGCCACTCTGATTGCACAAATGGGCCAGGAAGCTGCTTTAGTAGGGCATCTGAGGATTCTTTTGAATAGGGAATCTGACTAGCATAGAACTGGTTATACTGACTCTATGCAACTCCACCATCAAATGGGCAGAGTGCCAGAGCAGGAAAGGATATAGCCAGACCAGTGTTACTGCCTCTAGGGGGCTGTTCCAAGACAACTCAAGCAAGAGCAAACTCTAGAGTGGTTTAACTTGCACTGGGAGCTAAAATGGCTCTCTGCAACCTTGAGGACAGATGGAGCAGAGCCCTGATACACCTGACTGGGCCAAAACTTTTTTTGTGTTAATTTCCAAGCTTTTAAAATAATTATATACACTGCTCCTATTCCCACAGATAGCAATCAGGATTTATCTGTATTATCCCTTGTATGTCCCTAAATATCGGCAACAACCGCAATAGTGTATTGGTAGATAATGTATCTCCTCCTTATCCAATAGTCTTTCTTCTCCATCAGACATCTGGAGAGCTGCACTCCTCTCATATCTTCTGATGGCCCAATCAGCCCCTGTCATCCCATCCACTTCCTGCACCCCACCAAATCCTCATGAAAATAAAAGTTCAGAAGTGTGAAGTTCACTACATTTTGGACTCTATTCAGGTGAAAGCCACCACACTGCAGCTTGTAGCTCATGGAAATGTTCCTAAATAACTGATGTAATCGTCTCTAGTAGCAATGGAATGCTGTCTTAGATATTTTGTAAGGATTCCCATTCAAAGTCTGATGTCAGGCAGCCCAGTCAACATATGTATGACCTGAAAGTGAAAGTTCCATTTTGAAGGGGCAGCAGCCTAAACCCATTCAGGTCTCCATGATGACAGCTTCACTCTGCAGGTCAGCCAAGAAGATGGAGAAGGAGGGTCCAGGCAACCTGAATATTATCTATGTCCCCTTCCCATATACAGTAATCAGGAAAAGTGGGGAAAGCCCAGCATAAGAAGATGACAGAATCTGGGTGCCGAAGGTCCCTCTCCTAATAAAAGGATCATTAGGGTGAAAAAATAAACAACTGGACCTAATTTTGCAATATTTTATTATGAGAAAAGTGCCTTCTTGATCTCAGTCAGTTTATACCTTGTATTTAATGCAATTTATTCCCACATTTGTAATTTGATCCTAGCTATGTAACTACAGATACTGTTCTTATTTATATACAAAGGCATTTTAGCTTACTAAAGCTAGTAGAAATATAATAATATATTATGGGGCACTGAGTTTCATTGAATAGAAAAATCTAAATTAAAAATAAACTTTAAATGAAACTGGTGCCATATGTCTTAATTATGGGACAAAGTATGTATGAATGACTGAATGACCTCCTCTGTCAGGTGTTATTTTAAATATTACTTATGCTGAATTATCTCTCCTTTGTGAATATTAAAAGTTAACTGCTTTCATATTTCCCAGTTACTTAGCTGTGTTGGATCTCTCAAATTTCTTGATTCTTCCTACTCTTGACTAAATAAAATGATTCCTCTAGAAAATGGTCACTTTGCTATTCAGCCCCTCTACTGGGTCCTTATTAGAAGTTATACTGGTCACTATTCATTACTGATCCCTAGATATTCCTTTATTATCTAACAGAGGTACTTTATCAAAATGTCTTTTTAAAGTCAAAATAAGTTTGTTACCAAGTGATTTAATTTTCTACTATCTGTATTGTCTTAGTGTACACTGTCAACTTAAAAACCATAGGGCCTAATTTGGGGCTCAGTCAGTGCTGCCCCTTCCCCCCCCCCTTTTTTTTTTTTTTAAAACGTATTCTCGTCAATTTTTTATTTTTGCCTTCCAATTTGAAATTTTGCCCTTAGCCAAAATGGCTGCCATCTTCAATTACTGTCTGTAGAACAGAAGCCACGGGCTATCCTCAGTAAGATGGCAGTCATCTCTCCAACTTCTGTAGGGGATAGTGAGTCTGCTCCCAGAAAAGATGGGCACAGTTTCCTGTTATTTCCAATTGGGCTGAAGCATGGCTGCCCTCAGGGAAGAAGATGGGCCTCCAGTCACCAACTGAGGGCTGAACAGGGGACACAATGTGGAGGTGCAGTGAATGGGGCTTTGGCAGCAGCAGGGAAGAGGACTGTGCTAGGAAACAGGATGGGAAACTGAGTAGTCAGAGAAATGTGAGGGGATCCGGAAGCAAACTGAGGAGGTTTGTAGTGGAATATGGCATGGCAGAGAGGGAAAATGCAATGAGTAGGAGACAGTGAGAGGAGAGGAAGGGAAATGCATGTGTGTGGGGGGGGACTCCCGTACATAAAGAGACAGGCAGAGGCAGGGCCAGATTAACCTTTTGTGGGCCTGGCACCAAACATATTTGTGGGCCCCCAGGGGAGCAATGGAGCATGGCATGAGGGGGTCGGTCCCCAGAGCAAGGAAGCAGAGACTGCCAGGAGATGCACTGGGGTCCAGCTAGGAGGCAGAGAAGCCAGCGGTGGGGCCAGGTGGAGAGGAGCCCTTGGCTGGCCGGCAGACAGGCTGAGAGGAGCAAGTGGTGGTGGCGGGAGGGAGGGAGCCAGCGGGGTCTCAGGGCACAATGCAAGCAGAGCAGGCCGGGGCCCCTTCTGAGCATGGGCCCAGCTCCATGGCACCACTGGCACCATTGTAAACCTGGTACTGGGCGGTGGAGTATGGAGGAAACATATGAGTGTGGGTAGCTGCCTTGTTAGGGAGGGAGATAGAGGAGGTTACAATAAAAGCTCCCCATGTCAGGGAAAGGAGAAGGCAAGTTCCTACTTTGCAGTGAACATGGAAACTGCATTTTTGTATGTATTTGAGATTGAAGATGGATCCAGGCTGATCAGACACAAATTGAGGATGGGAGCTTCCTCATAAAAGACATGGTGGTGATGGTGAAATTGGACAACAGGCAAAATCCACAATTTTTAAATATTATATTTTGGGTTCTGCCTCATGATTTTTGAATACTTGGGTTTTGCAATGCAGTGATGTACACACTGCCAAGTGTTGTGCATCTCAGAATGCAGGCTTTAGGCAGCCATGTCACATCTGCCCACATCTCAAGTGACAGAACAAGGTAGAACCCTTCCTCAAAGACTATCCTTCAGCTGAGACTGGAATCAGGTGATCATGGGTTCTGGTTTCACCTTTTCTCCTGAGTGCTGTTCACAAGCCTTATTACTATGATGACCTCATCTCTCTACCCTAAAAGCTAGGCAACTAATATTTCCCTAATTTTTCAAATAAGGTAATTGAGAAGTTGCACAAATCACTTCAAGACTGAGCTGTGAACAGAACCCAGGTCACAAGTCTTGTTCTGCTGCCTTTCAGAAGGAATGCATCAAATCTATGTGCTTGACAAACTGGTCTGTAACCACTGCTCTAACCACTAGACCACATACAGATCATGATGAGAACCCAGGAATTCTGATACCAGCATTCCTCTCCAGTCTCACAAATATTTGTTCAAGAATGAGGCTTGCTGTCAATTAGTTTAAGATGTAACATTTGAATTACTAGGGCACTGAATGCTCTCTAAGGACATTGCTAAGGAACTACAGTCTTACCTGTAGGTCACCATTTTTAATTTAGCCCCGCTCTGCT